GCCGCCGTTGCTAGGCGACCGCTGCTGCCGTGGCCGCCTCTGTCACGAGCCCCGTCGCCCGGAGACAGCGCGAGAGAGACGGGGGAGGGGGGCGAGGGGACCCCCAAAACCAACCAGGCCTCCCACCATCCCCTCCTGAGCAGGACCCCCCCACCAAAACCGCGGAAGGAACGAGGGGCGGCAGCTCCACCCAGCAGAGGAGGAGCCCTGGATTCCAATGCCCCTCAAAGGTCCGGCGACCTCTCCTGGGCTTGAGAGTCCACAGCCTCTGCACACGCCTTCGCGGGCCCAGGCCCCCAAAGCCCCCAAAACTCCTATGTCCCCTGCACATCCTCCATGCCCTTTACACATTCCATGTTTCCCTGAAAACCCCAAACATTCACCATCTATCAACTCTTTCGCAAAAACCTCCCCTTAAATAGATACACCCCTGGACCTCCTCCCAACCCCTACTGAGCCTCCAACACAACCACCTCTACATAACATCCCCAACTCCAAACACACACGGGTGCGACCACCCAAAACACACAGGAGACCCTCACCAGAGACCCCAAACCCTGAGGACTCAGGAGAAAGATGGGGAATATGTTGGCAGAGACACCAACCACAGGATATATGATAAACATGCTCCACGAGCGTGTGACCATTCTGGCCTGGACACACAGGTATGCACACATGCACACAAACCTTTCTCACACATGGACGTGACACACTCACACACAGATGTGACAGACATCACACACATTCTCTGTACACACTCCTCCTCCTTCACCACCACCACCACCTGGCTTTGCCTCAGAGAGATGTGCTACCCACACACTCCCATGGTCAGAAGTTTCCATGACAATGACACACATCCCTGGCCGACCATTCACCCAGGGTCCCAGAGCTGGCCCCCAATGGCATTAAGACCTGGGTCTATCAGAAGAGGGCTGAAGGGAGCCAAGGGATGGAGACAGGCCACTGGGTCTCTCTAAGGAAGAGAATCTGCAAGCCTGGATCTTTGAGGGGAGAGGGGGCTAGTGGAAGAAAGGGGTCACCAGGGGTTGCGGGGATGAAGGACCTGGACCCCTGGTCCTGGAAGGGTAATGCAGTGGTAGGGGGCAGTGACAAGGGGATTTCTGGGGGCCGAGGGCGGCTCTCTGCACCTTGGCTGCAGATCTCTGTTCTCTGCCTTCATCTCCCCTCACTGTTCCCATGGAAACCTTTTAAGCGAACTTCTCAGGAAGACAAAAATCTTTTTTTAAATGACTAAAGAGGGGGGTGGAGGGGGGCAGAAAGAGGGAGGGAGGGGAAGAGACCAGATGGAGAGAGGGAGAGAGTTGGAGAGACAAGAGTACATAGCTCTACAGACAGACAGAAAGGAGATGAGATGGGGGTCTGATAGAGTTCCACGGGAGCAGAGGGGAGAGGCAGAGGAATCAGGAGGGACAGAGAAAATAAGAGGAATCGGGGAGGAAAGAGAAAGGGTGACAGAACTGCAGAAAATAGAAGCCGTTGGTGAGAAGGGGGAAAGGGGGAGGCAAGAAAAGAGGCAGGGTCCCCAGGCCACAAGGCCTGGAACAAGAATCAGGAGCGTGGGGGTGGGGCAGAGGTTGGGGGGCGGGGGGAGGGCAGGAAGTAGGTCATTCTCTCCAAGATCCCAGACCAAGGGCTGGGAGTGGCAGGGGCAGCAACAGCCGGACAGGAAGCTAAAGATCTAAAGAGACTATTTTTACAAGCACCAGGAAAACAGTCAAAGTTCGCTGCTGGAGAGGAAAAAGGGAGCGAAACAGCAAGGACCACTGGGGCCTCTCACCCACAGTCTCGGTCCCGCTCAGATCCCAGAGGAGGGCGCCTTAGTCTCCTCGCAGGCTCCCACTCGCAGGATGCGCTACTTGGTCTCCGCCCCCTCCCGCCCTCTGGTAACTCCCACGGTTCCCGGACACCCCCTCCCCTGCAGCTCGGTCCACCTTCGGCCCTCTCCCCGCGACTGTCCGGGGCACGAGAGCCTGCTCGGCCGCCGTACCATGCTCGCCGTGGGGCCGCCCCTCCACCGGCACGGAGACTGTGCGTCTCAGCAGTTTGTTGCGACTGGACTCGCTCCTCCGGTCCCGGATCAGAAGGGGGTGTATCTAGGGGATGCGGGGGTGTGTCAGACCTCACTGGCCCAGGCTGTCCCTCCTCTTTCCCTCCCCCACCAAGGAAGGATGAGCCTCCCTTTCCACCAGGCCTGCCCACCTTCTGCCCCTGCCCCTCCACACTTTTTAAATGTCCCTGGGTGGTCATTTCTCTTTCCCCTCTCCCTCCAAGTATGTCTCCCTCACTCCCTCCCGTCCCACCCTGATCTTTTCTGCCACCATTTCTTTTGAAACACCCTCCAGGGAATTCTCTCAAACCCTACTCAGCTCTCCCTGAAACTCCTCAACCCCTCTGATTTCGCTGCTCTCTGAATCCACTTCCCCCTTGACCTTCACTTCCTCCCTTCTCCCTGCTTTCCTCCCAACCTCCCACCTCCCTCACCCCCTTCCCTCCCTCCGTGGCTGTCACGGGGGTAGCAGAAGCTGCATTTATAATCAGGATCCACAGCTTGTCTCCCTCCCACGGCCAGGCTTGCGGCCAGAATGGGACCCAACCTCCCCACCCCCAGAGGGCCTGGTCACCTCCCCCCACCTTTCATCTCCTTCCACGCCCCCCCCCACTCAGCCTCTGTCACTTCCCTTCTTCCCTTTAGCCATCACCTCTTCCTAAGCCTCCTCCCCAACTCTCCCTTGCCACCTCCTTCCCAGCCTCCCCCTCTCCAACCCTCCAATCTCCACCCCTAAAGGAACCACCTACCCCACTGGTCCCCAGCCCCAGTTCCACAACCCACACAATTCTAGCTCCCTGTGGCCCTACACACTGCTCATTTTCTCAGTTCAACCTGCTCCTCCTTCTCTGCACCGTTCCTACTTTAGTCTCTGGCCACTGGTGTTCCCCTCAGCTCGCTGACCACTGGTCCCCTTGATCTGTCCCCATCTCTGTCGTTCCTTCATTACCTTACCCATGGTTCTCCCTCTTCATCCTCACACAGTCTCCAGTTTCCCTAGTTCATCCTACAGACCCCAAACCCTTGGTCAAGACCAGTGACCACTAGTGAATCACTCAAATGACCCCCAATGCCTAAAACTTCAACTCTCCAAACCGTCTCCATCTTTAGCCACTATGTCCTCCCCTAGACACTTGGACTTTACTCTGTGCCTTGGAGGCTCTCTACCTAGCCATCTCCACACTAACTTGCCCCCCAGGTCCCTCAAAACTCTGGTTAACCTCCACTCCAATTCTAACCCTGCCTCACCACACCCTCCCCGATAGCTTTTGGGGTGCATCTCTCACCACCTCTCTGGTCTTGCAGCCTGCCCTATCACCCTCTAAAGCTGGTCCCCCACATCACCCCCATTCCCTGAATCACACCTGGGCATGCACCCTTCATATTCACATCCTCTGTTTCCTCTGATGGACCCTCTATGGCTGACCCAGCTCCAAAATCAGAACCCACACTCCCCTGGCTATCTAGTCCTCCGTGGCCACCACCTCCCACAAGGATCCTCTGTTCATTTCATGTCGTTCACTCTGGCCAGCCCCTGCCCCTATCCCACTCTTACTCCTTTGGACAAATTCCCAGTTCCCCTCAGCCCCAGCTATCTCCTCCCTTCCATTGCTTCCTGATGTCCCTGGTGAAAGCCCTCTCATTGTCTTTCTAAACCCCCATCTCAGCCTTCCATGCCATCCACGCCAAGATCCACTGATCTCTGTCATCTTTCCTAGTATCATGCAGCCCCTTCCTAGTTTCCTAGAGACCCCACTCTCCCCTGCCTTTTCTCTGAGTCCCTCAGTTACCCCTCCCTGCATTCTGCCCCATGCTGGGGAGAGGACTGGGAGTGGTCAGTGATGGTCTTGCTCAGTAGGCTTAGAAGAGAGGGTTCCCGAGGATCACTTTGGAGGTGACCCTTCCAATGTGGTCCCCATTTCTTCACCCTTTCTCCAAGCTCTTTGGTTTCCGTTTCCTATCCTAACCTATCCCACGATACAGGCAGGGTGAAAACAGGGAGCACCCCCAGATCTTCAGAACCACATCTCCTCCCCAACACTGAATATGGCCCTCAAAGACCCCTCTGACCAAGGTGAAAGAATAATTGCCTCTTTTCACATCCGGACCCAAATCTCAGTGACTACTCTCTTCTCAACACTTGCAAATGTTTCTCTTTTTGTCTGCCTTCTTTGTGTCTCTAGCCCCTTCACTAATGATTCTCCCCATCTTTCTCTCCACATTCTCCCCTGCTACCCCAGGGTCTTTTCCCAACCTTCCCACCCTGCTCACCTCGTCCTCATCCAGCATGAGAAGCTGGTTCCCCGAGATGATGCAGAACCGAGGGTTCCAACCAGGACGATCATATGGGGAATGAACGTATTGGGTTCGGTGCATAGGGGGTCCCCGTACATCTGGGGGGCGGGCAGAGATACACAGAAATGGTAAGGGAGGCTCTATGTATTTGGGAGATAGAGGCCTAAAATGACAAAAGTGGGAGAAGGGGACCCTACCCACCTTGAGGAGATCACAGATGAGGGTGAGGCACATGGTAACTTTAAAGGAACAGAAGATAAACTTCTACATTTGGGGGAAAAGAGGCGAGGGAATCACATCACAGGGGGCTCTGTAGACTCAGGGGAAGAAATACAAAAGAGTGGTTCAGGGAGGGGAATTATAGCGTGACAGAGAGGGTACAAATTCAGAGGCAAAGGAAAGTGAAGCTCACCATCCACTTAAGAAAAATAGAAAGATGGAGGGTGCAGCAAAACTGGTAGAAGGAAAACACAGAGATTGGTGGTAAGTGTCTGAGAAGAGGGCATCCAGATAGCTGCAGAAGACAAGGATTTGGAAGGTGGGACCACTCATCAGCAAGAGAGTAAGAGGAAGGCCACAGAACCGTGGAAAAGAAGGATGGGGATGTAGGAACATTTGGGTCATAAGACTCTGAGAGCTAAACATCTAGAGAGGAAGTGAGGGAGCTTACCTGTTCACAGAGTCAGAGTCATGAGAGGGCCTCCCTTCCTGCCTCTCCTCTTTATTCCACCCCCTCCTCCCCTGGCCAGCCCTGCTCATCCTTTGGGGAGAGTTCTGGTTCTTCTGGTGGTAGGGGGAGGATGGATCTCGTCAGCATCAGGCTTTGCAGAGGCTAAAGAGTGAGGAGGCAGGAGATATGTCCTTGTTTGAATGAATACGGAATTGATCTCCTCCCTGACTCCATGCCTAGAAGTTGAAGAGTCAGTAATGTCCCCCCAGGCCCCCAGTCTCCATGGACAGGATGGAAGCCAACTTCATAAGTTAGGAACCTCCCCAAGGCACAGGGAGGAGCTTGAGTAAGAAAGGTGTGAGAAGAATGGAAGATCCAGGCCTGTAACATAGAGGAGGCCTCTGAAGACTAGAGCTAGGGATGGGAAGAAAACTTCCAGAAAAGAAGAACAGTAGATGAAGGGCTGTCGATGCTCAGAGACACCCCCAGAGTCCCACTTCCCCAACTTTGCTGTTCTTCCCATGCCCCCATCCCTGCAAACTGCCTCTCCTTTAAACCCCAATGCCACATCACAGGGACACAGGGGACAGGGCCTGTGGAAGTAAGAGAGAAGTCAAATTGGTGACATCGAAGTGACAGAAAACAGGCTTAAGGAATCAGAATAAGAGAGAGTTTAGAGAAAGAAAAATAAAATTCTGTCACCTTTACAGGATAATTAATCATGGGTATATTGCAGGAAAAGCATTGGTCTTTAAGCTTCATTCGAACTGAAAGCTCTGAGTAGGAGGGTTTTGAAAATGTAGCCCCTATCTGTCTCCAGACATGCTTCAGATTTACCCAACCTGCAGATCAGAGTCAGAGATGAACCCTCAGAATATAAGTATCTAGAAACCCCAATACTTTGAAGCACTCAGGATTTCAATGCCACCTCAGAGACTCCAACCAATACCCTCTAGATACAGAGAGTACCAATGCCTAGGCTTTAGGACTGCAGGCAATGCAGGCAACATGCCCACCGCAATCAGACCCTGAGGACCCCCAGCGGAGACATCTGTTGACACATATCATCACTATGGGAGAAGCTGGTTCAGGCTGCAGCCACAGGGAGGCAGGCTAGACATCACGGGGCAGACCCTCCTCCTGGGAGTAGTGCAGGACCCAGGAACTTTGCTTAGCAGCAACTCTGGAAATATACACGCACGCAATATTGTCTGGACTTAAGTAAGGATGATTCTGGGAGGCAGATGCAAGAGACAGAGGAACACAGATGAAAAAGGGATAAGATTTACTAGGATGAGAAATCCCAAAGGGCTCAGATGGGGATCTCTTTTAGGTCTTGTTCCAACCATTAAAACCTGTGTCTTTGCTCCGCAGCTCTCCAACACCCCAGGAATTAGAGGAGGCAAGAAAAGAGGAATGGGTGATAAGACCTGGGGTATTAGGGGAAAGTGGGTAGGCACAGACTTGTGGTGACAAGATGGGGAATGGGGTAGGGAATAGAGGACGGGGTGGAGAAGAAATAACAGGGATGGATCTAAGAGAAAACGAGACAGGAATGATGGTAAATCTCTCGGGAAAAAGAGAATATCCCCGAAGGGCCCAAATGGACATGGGGCAGAGGAAATGAGGTGGACCTAATGGGGTGTTAGGACAAGGGGTCAAGAAGAAGGGGGTGAAGAGGTGGTAGAAATGTAAAGGAGCTACCAAATAAAGGAGAGGGAGAGAGAGAAAATGGACAGCAGGGAAGGGACTGATACAGGGGAAAGACAGAAGGGGGACTCATATAAAGAACGGACACCATATGGGGGGAAAGATATAGGTGATGGACACCAGAGGAGGGAGGGGGAATGGAAATAAGGATTGGAAGTGGGGGAGGGGAGTAAAAGTGGTAAAATACAAGAAGCGGATAAGACCCCAGAGGTTACATTTCACTGGTCAAGGGCCTTAATGAGGGTCAGAGTCTGAGGCAGGGTCCTAACCTGCCCCCTACTCTCATCTCTCAGTCTTACTTTTATTGCCCCCCTCCCCCTCAACAAACACACACATAATTTGGCTCTCCCCCTGCCCTGGTCTCTCCTCCCCCAACCCATTCCCCATTCCCTCTCTCCTCTTTTCCCTCCATCTGGACCCTCCATTCCTCCCTCCACCACCCCCAACTGCCTCCCTCTCTCTCCATCTGGCCCCTTCTCTCTCTCCATCTCCTGTCTTTTTCTACCCCCTACCATTCTCTGAGCCCCCCACCATATTCTACCCATCATCTTCTTGGCTTCTCTTGTCACCCCTATGTTTTCATTTTCCCCTCCTGGCCCCTCTCTAAGCCTCTGCCCTTCTGTTTCCGTGATATTTTCTTCATCTCTCAGCTCCCACCTCTAAATTATTTCTGCAGCTCTTCCTCCAGCCCTATCCTTCTATCTTCCCACCTTTTCTGGCGATCTTTTTCTCCTTCATCATTTTCCCCTCTGCCCCCTTCAAGGCCTGTTTCCTGCCCCTCCGGCCCCTATCTACACCTATCCTCTGGCCTCCAATCCCTCCTTCCCCATTGCTCCCATCCCTGCCTTCCCGGTCTTCCTCTCTCCCTCCATTTCAGCTGCTCCCTTCCCTGGCCCCAGCTCTGCCCACCCCCAGCCCCTCCCCCCTTGCCCCCCCCATCTGGCCCTCCCCCTCCCCTCACCACCGTACCTCTGAAGGGGGCATAGGACATCGCGGGGATG